TGAGTAAAAAATCTCCGCGTTAATTTGTTCTACGTCATCAGCGCTGCCCTCGGCGCTGAATATTTTTTTAAAAACGTCATTTTGACTCTAAATTTCATCTTTTTTGCTTTTTTTTTGCTTTAAGCCCTAAAAATCAAAAACCTGCAAGAAAACATCAAAATACCTTATATTAAACTGCAATATCATTAAAAATAGGTATAAAATATGTGTCTAAAAATGCATGTATTTTTGGTGTATCAAATAACTTATTCAAACCTGGGCTATTTGGTTTCTCAGCGTAGCAGATAAGTTCCTTTGATTTTTGTTTTGTGATTCTTAGATTTTCTTGAAGAAAGTTGACTTTTCAATTTGATAATTACATTTAGGTTTGCTTGATACCTTCATAAACAAGAATCATTCTTTTAATTTTAAATGAATTTTTGACCAATTATAAAATTCTTGTTGATCTATTTCACTTGGATTTAGAATAAGCTTAGAACTTAATAGCTCTCGTCATTAGATTAATGAAATCACTGCTCTTTCACTTTGGCCATTTGTTGAGTGAATTGTGCTATCGCCAAGTCAAAGATATTAGAGTGTCTTGAGTTTGACCTTTAGAACATGCTTGAGGCTTAGACTTGGGCTATAGAGACTCGTTTTCTTTCAACCTGAATCGTTGAAGTTTGTAGACTAAGATATCTTGGAACATGCATACTGAATGTATATATATTTTCTTGCTTGACTGCACGATTATGTTTGATTGAAAATCATCTTTCAGAACTTGCCTTAATCTATCAATCCGTTGAAAAAGTTTTTCGAATTTGAATCCTTTGAATTTATCATGCTGGATTGTTTTAGGACTCATTGCTATTGTCATAAAATCGATAAAGCTGTGGTTCTTTAACGGTGTTTGTTCTCATGGTTTGTTAAGCGAGTAAATATGTCAATGACCTGGATATTTTTAAACCTATTAAATATGATCTTCAGGATATGCTCGATTTCTAAACTTCAGCTATGAAAGAACTTATGGCTTTTCCAACGTGACTAATTAAAGCTTGTGGTTGTAGGAATTTTCTTTTATTTAGTTTTTTAAGATATTAGTGCTTGTATATTTGAGAATATATTTACGGATGCTTTATTGAATGAAGCTTGTAAGTCTAACTTTGCTTCGGCCTATCAGTCAATTAGAAAAGTCTTTTGAATCTTGATCATTTGAATTTCTCATATAATATAACCTCATAATTTGATAACTCTCCTTTAAAAACGTCATTTTGACTCCATAATTTGATAACTCTCATATAATATAACCTCATAATTTGATAACTCTCATCATCAGACTGATGAAATGAGGCTCTCTCATTGCAGTTTTTTTTGTGATTTATTGACTGAGGAGAGCTATCAACAACTCGATTATATTTGAATGTTTTAAGTCTGACCTTCATGTCATCCTCGGGTCTAAGACTTTAGTTATAGAGGAATTTATGTTTTTTTCCATTTTGATTGGTTGAAGCTCATAGATATGGAAGCCCTCTCGCTTAACCCTCCGAATCCTGGCAAGTTGAGGAGACAAAGTTCTGATTATCAGAACTGTCTTGTATATATCTTACTTGAAGGTGAATTTTGCTTTTGGCTGATAAAGTAATTGTTGGGTTAATAATATTTTGCTGTTGTAATAATTTTATATGATCTATGAATCATATATACTATGAACTACTAGATACAGCTGCATTACACTATTTCTTTGAGGTTGATCCCTAGATTGTTTCCTGGTCTTATTCTCTTTGATTGGCAACCATGTTGGAGTGTTTGCACCAAAGAAAATGTCCAACCAGGCCTTATTCTCTTTGATTGGAAACCATGTTGGAGTGTTTGCACCAAAGAAAATGTCCAACCAGGCTAGAGTTAACCATTTATGACACTGGTTGTAGGGCTTGTACAATGGCTGGTGATTTTTGGGGGTGATGAGGGTTGCTGCTGTATCAGTTTTGTTTAGCTTATTTTTATTGTAAAGGTATCAGAAAGATTTAACTTGTGCTAGTTTTTCTCAAATGCTTTGTATCCATGGGTTGATGCTTAATTTGTTTAAAGCTTACTTTTCTAACTTTGAAGCTGAAACTTTTTGCTTCACATTAAGCTTATAAGGCTTGTCACATCATGTCTACATATGATAGGGGCATCAGATGCCTATAATTTCAGGTGCATATTTTACCCACTGTTGTATTGAAATCTGCTTTACTTTTGTTATCAATAATTTTTCTGTTGAAGCGACGTTAATCATTTAAAATATGTAGTTACAATAAACTAAAATGTACATTCCTTTTTAGAAATTTAATTTTTAAAGCTCATGCCCTTTATGAATAAAGGTAAGGTATTTTACATCCTACTTTTGTTTTTTTTTCCTTTGATTTTTTATATAATTGTGAAGTCACTAAAGTTTTTATGAATAAACTAAGGGATCAATGATTTTTCTTAATTCATTTCATATAGCTTTGTTTCTTCTTTGAGTTCATTAAATCATGTTTTGATGTTGAACTATACTCTGTATCATCTATTGAAATAGTCAAAGTTTATTTTTTCAAGCTACATTTTATTTAAGACTTGATCCTTATTATAATGCCTTTTGAACGCTATACTCAATGGGTCAATCAGTTAAATATGATTTTGAGATGTAGCTTTATTTTAATTATAAACCCCAAAGCGAACATGTATTTTGAATTTAAATTTTATTGCTTCATTGCTCTTCGAAATTTCCATTATTTTGAAATATAGTTTACCCAATAGATTGACCAATGGTGCTCATATAAAAATTCATAAGTCATCTAATGAATTGATGTGTATTGTTTGGTTCTACATGGAAAGGATTTAAGGCTTGATGCTAAGTGCTAGGATTTAATGTTAATGTACAATGAATTGTAAGCAATATCTTATAATTTTGATTGATCAAACCTAATTCGTATTTCTATTATCTTAATTGTTGAAGGTTTAATCAATTTAAAATAATGTTGATGTGATCATGTTTTTAAAAGACATTATTTAGGAGTGTTAAAAATTGCCCTAGATTCTCCGGTTCTTTTTGACCAATTATTTTCTCTCGCATGGTGTCATATTCTTGCTCGCTTCCAGAAACTCCCACTGATCATCTTTTGTTTGACTTCATTTTTTCCGTCACTTAGAGTTTGGATTTAGAATGTTAATAATTTGTTATGACCTGTAAAATTTAGAATTTATTATAAATTTTTTTTTTATATCCATCTTAAATCTTTATTTCTGTATTTTAAGTAGTTAAAATATAAATTTTATGATGTTTACACCCTTCTAAAGTAAAAGTCCTCGCCTTATGCCTGTATTTTAAAACATTGGTGACAACCAAGATATTTGAATCATTTGCTGGCAATAATGTTGTAGAAATTAGCAATTTTGGCCCGAGTAATGCAATTACTGTTTAATAAACTTCACATGTTATCGAGCAGTTTTATTGTGCTCTCAAGGATAGCATCCTCAGTACGTAAACTAATATTTGTGCCAAAAATATATGGAAGCTTTACATTCCACCTAATTCTTATGTATTTACGTATCTAACACATAAACTTCAGTTTTTACATACATATTACCTTACATATGCATGAAAATATGTATTTCATCTTTTAAAATTAAAACTGTGATATTTTTGATGTGATGTGAAAATTTTGGTTACTATAAATGTTAAAAATAAACTTTAGGCGTAGATATGTAAATACATAGGAATTGGGTGGAAAGTCTGTTTCTTGGAATAATTTGCAATTCTCTAAGCATCTTAAATTCTACTGCTCTGACATTTATACATAAGCATTTTATTTATGACAGCAGCCAATCAGTAGAGTGATTCCTATTTCAAGTTTCTATTTTACTTTTTGTTTTTCTAGTGTTGGACTATCATTTGAACTTCTACTTTTGATCATGACCAATATATAATTCTTTGTTCTTATTTCAGTTATGGATAGCTTTATGTATTGCTACAAATAGTAGCGCATGGCTGGGTACCGGTGTCCTCGTCACCAACATGAGAAACTTCCCTTTCAGTAGAGGCACAGTTGCTGGCATTCTGAAGGGTTACATTGGCCTCAGCGCTGCAGTGTATACTCTACTTTACACAGGAGTGCTCAATCACTCGCCCTCCAAGTTATTGCTGCTACTTACTCTTGGCCTGCCACTTGTTTGCCTTGCAATGATGTATTTTGTGCGTCCCTGCAGTCCAGCTTCAGAAGATGACTCGTCTGAGTACTGCCATTTCTTGTTCACCCAGATTGTTAGTGTTGTTCTAGGCCTCTACTTGCTAACTTCGACACTACTCGATAATGTTTTATCGCCTAATAGTTTAGTTACCTATGTATTTTTTTGCATAATGATCCTCTTGCTCCTTTCTCCGCTTTCAATCCCATTGAAGATGACTTTGTACCCAAATAAGAAGAAATATGGTATTAAAACAACTCCATCCAGTTCTTCCGAT